TCTATGGAATAGACCAACCAGTGGATAAAAATAAGTCATGGTATAATTAAAAAAAACTTGAAAAAAAAAATAAAATTGTGGGGTCATTTGACCCCACATGACCCCATGTGGGTCCGCCCCTGTCTAGAGCCCTCATACGAAAGAAGGAAACCCTAATCATTTCACTACTTCACTTCACTTCACTTCACTTCACTCTTTTGTTTTTTAGCCTCTCTAGATCCATGACCAAAAAGTTCGACTGGGATAGGAGGGGAGCTATAGCTCCTATATTACTTTTAGAGATTGTTTTCTTGTAAGATTATGGGAAAATAGAAGCAGCGATCCTTAACTTTTTACCTTTTTCTTGCAGACTTTATTATAACCTTCATTTTTGTATTGCATACTTCAAACCTTTAAAAAATATGCACTTTGGGTCTAAATGAACATTAGTTGACCAATAAAACCGGACTTTAACTAATTTTGACAAAATTAGATACTGTTTGAGCTACATTTTCATTTTTATTCTTGTACTCATTTTTTCATTAAAATAATATTTTCCATCACATCAATAACTTTTTTTTTTTAAACCACATATTCACCACATTTCTCTTAAAAAATGTAAAATTGTAACTTTACAATTATTTCATTAAATAAATAAACAAAAAATTAGAAAAAAAAATAAAAAAGGGCTTCTCTTCCTTGCCAACAGCAGTACCGACACACTGCCGGCACCACTAGTGCCTCCTCGTCGACAACTAACCACTATTGCCCACAGCCGCCCCTGCCATCGCCCTCACCATCATTCCCCCTCCCAAATCCACAATTTTGCCCGACGTGAACAAAACTTGGCCAAAACCACCAGGGTTACAACCACCACCACCAGCAACGCTGGCTTTCAACACCCCTGCCTTCACCTATTCCTACCAAATCAACCACCACCACCACCATCCCTGACCGGATTAATCTTCTTCCCCAACCTCCGCTTCACCATATTATCCACGCACCCACTTCAAATTCCACCTCCACATTCATCATTTTTATGCAAACAATAGTGAGTGTTGGTGAGGAGAACACTGGTGGCCGTTTGAAGAGTATTAAGGTCGTCGGATGTATAGAAAATAGGGGACATTTGAGCCACATTTTTATTTTTATTTTTATTCTTCTACTTATTTTCAACCACACATTTTTTAATAAAATAATATTTTCTATCATATCAATAACTTTTCCTTTTTTTCAACCACATATTCACAATCACATCATTAAAAAAAATACATTCTTTCAATTTTAATGTGCATCAAACACACTCTTAAAAGAGGTAGAATTGTAACTTTACAATTATTGCATTAAATAAATAAACAAAAAATTAGAAAAAAAAATAAAAAAAGGGCTTCTCTTCCTGGCCAACGGCAGTACCGGCACACTGCTGGCACCACCAGTGCCTCCTCGTCGACAACTGACCACTATTGCCCATAGCCGTCGTCACCCTCACCATCATTCTCCATCCCAAATCCACAATTTTGCCTGACGTGAGCAAAACTTGGCCAAAACCACTAGGGTCACAACCACCACCACCAGCAACGCTGACCTTCAACCCCTTAACTCACCCATGCCTTCACATGTTCTACCAAATCAACCCAAAGCCAACACCACCTATAGCACCACCACCACAGCCACCATCCCTAAACAGATTAATCCTCTTCCCCAATCTCCGTTCCACCATATTATCCCCGCAACCACTTCAAATTCCACCTCTACATTCAGGGACGGACTTAGCAAATCATACCAACCAGGGCGGACATTGATTGGTCAACGTCGACGGTCAACGAAGGAGGTCGTTTATTAATATTTAATTACATAATATTAAAAATTATTCAATATATATATGTAAACACACACACTAAAATTATCATGACCCTCGTCAACCAAAATTGAAAATAAACGATCACCCATCTCCAATTTTAATTTCCCCCAATTCCTAATCCAATTCCAAATCCTCAATTCCAAATTCAATTCCACATCCAATTTTAATTTCCCCTAATTCCAAATCAAATTCCCCCAATTCAAATTCATAAATCATACTTGAAATAAACTGAAAACTATCCTTAATCGCGGTTCCATAACTCATAAATAGATAATAACACCAAAAAAAAAAACGTGGGCAGAAAAGAAAACTCACGGCTTCCAGTTGAAAAGAAAACACACAGCTTCTGGGCAGAGAAAAATCTAGCTGCTGCAGGCGTTCACATGGCGGTCTCCGATCGGTGGTGGTGGCAAAGACGGACGGACAGACTGTGGCGGAACTCGGCGGGAGTGAAATCAGAATTGTCTTGGAGTTGGAGTCTTGGACGTTGGTTGAAGCGTGATTGAATTTCTATACCACACATTTTAATTTGATTTGGGGGAAAAGTTTGGACTTGGGCTGGTCACCCTACTGAAATAATAAAGGCCCAACCGGCCAATCCAATTAAAAAAAAAAAGATAATGGCTAGTGGGTTGGGCAGCAACGGCCCATTGTAATAAAAAAAACAAAAAAAGAAACCAGAACCAGAAGGCAGGAAGATGAACCAGTCCGGCGGAAGGAAGATGAACAGCGCCTCGCCAGTCGCCACTTCTTCCCAAAAACTACTCCGGCGGATCCCAGCACACGCGGCCGCCCCCTCTGGCCGGGTGCTGGGTCCGTTCCTGTCTACATTCATCATTTTTATGCAAACAATAGTGAGTGCTGGTGAGGAGAACACTGGTGGCCGTTTGAAGAGTATTAAGGTCGTCGGATGTATAGAAAATAGGGGACATTTACGGCGAGAGTTCAATGAGTCCTTCTTTCGGCTATGCATAGACCCACTTCTTTCTCCTTCCAAATAGTTGAAGAAGTATAGTTGAAGGCTAAACTCACTCCTTTCCAGTAAGGACCCAATGACCCATCCAACATGTCAAACCACAGCAATTCAAGAATAAAAATGAAATGGGTTCATTTTTTATGTGGCAAAAATTAGATACAAAAATTTACAAATCTTAATGACATGGTGGTAGATTTCGCTTACAGTGGAGGAAAATCGAAAACACAAGTTTTTGTTTGAGATTTGTGGTGGCCATGGGCAGTGCGGCGACATGTTGGTGGTGTCAGCAACTGATTTTCTGATTTTTGGGATGATGTATAGTGGAGTGAGGTGAAGAAGAAAGATGATAAACAATTTTATTTTATTTTATTTTTATTTAATTTATAGGACTAAATAGTAAAGTTACCATTTTACCCTTTTTAAATTTTGATCGTAGCGACATAATTTAAGTTATAAAATTTGCATTTTAAAATTCGGGTCGCTACAAGCATCGACCCACTTCTTTCTCCTTCGAAATAGTTGAAGAAGTATAGTTGAAGGCTAAACCCACTCCTTTCCAGTAAGGATCCAATAACCCATCCAACATGTCAAACCACAGCAATTCAAGAATAAAAATGAAATGGGTTCATTTTTTATGTGGCAAAAATTAGATACAAAAAAGGTACAAATCTTAATGACATGGTGGTAGATTTCGCTTACAGTGGAGGAAAATCGAAAACACGAGTTTTTGTTTGAGATTTGTGGTGATGGTGGTAGAGATTTGTGGTGGCCATGGGCGGTGCGGCGACGTGTTGGTGGTGTCGCAACTGATTTTCTGATTTTTGGGATGATGTATAGTGGAGTGAGGTAAAGAAGAAAGATAATAAACAATTTTATTCTCTCTTATTTTTATTTAATTTATAGGAATAAATAGTAAAGTCACCATTTTACCCTTTTTAAATTTTGTCAAAATTAACTTGTCCGATCAATTAACAGTCAAATGGATGGTTCTTCAGTTGCATATTTTTGAAAGGTTTGAAACTATGTGTGGCACAAAGTGAATGTTAAAGTATAGTTTGTAAAAAAGTGAAAGATTAGGCGTAGCTGCTGCAATTTTTCCTAAGATTATTTATGCCATACAAATAATTATAGAATCTTCAAAAACATGGCATGAGAAACACGTTTTTCATCAACGCTTTACTTTATAAGGTGTGTTTCATTCGAGGTAGGTCCAATGGAAAATTATTTGGATACATTTCTTGACCATTTAATAAAAAATTCAATGTTTCCAAAAGGAAAGGTTAATTAATGGATCTTCCTTTCAACCTTCGGACGTTATGTTGTCTTTATTTACCTAATAATATGGAACACATTGAAAAAAAATATATATATTTTTTTCACATAGAAATCTTGTAACGATTCCATTGTTTTGACACAAACTTTTTAAAATTGTTAAGGGTGCAAGTTAAAGATTAGAGCCTATATCTTTTTTTCTTAATTTTAACCATACATCCTTCAAAATATATTTTTCCCAAAAACTGGACGTCAAACAGGGCTAAGTATGTAGAAGGCAAAATTAATATTTTGGAGTAAATGAATATGTACCCAAGTTTTCCTACTCAAACGTTCACCTTATAGGATTGGATTTTTTTATTCAAAATGTAATCATCAATTCTATCAAAATTTAATTGAATTGTTGATGTAGCGGAAACTTATAGAAAAAATAGAACCTCACAAAAATTCAAATTTTATGATTTGAAAGATCAAATACCAAAAAAAGAGAATTATTTTGAGAAACTTCTTAATACTCTTTATTTAATTCATAATTCAACTGAATTTAAAAATTAATTACAACGCGTATTTAAAGCAGTAAATAAAATGTGGATAATAACTAACTTTTAGATAAAGACTAATTCTAAATAACGATAAGAATAAAAGATATGATCAAACTCTAAACGGAATTGAAGTTTTATCTAATTAAATTAAGAAAATTATCCAGACTAATGAAAAACGCATTTTCAGAGCCCCAACGATGGAATTGGACCGAAACAAGCTCTACATCATGGGCAAAGCCGATGAGTTTTGCTCACTCGGCCATTTTCACTCAAATAGACACAAACATTTTCGAAAACGATTCAAAAATTTATTTTTTCAACCTCGATTCCACTTTTCCATGAACTCTTCTTCTTTTTGTATCGAATCAATCCTCCCAAAAAAGCTACACTAAATACTAAATAGACATTCACAGAAAAATCGTCCATAAATTTCTTAAGAGTTTCAATTTTATTTTATTAATAATTCATATTTGCATTTTACAAAAAATATATGAAAATATTGAAATATAAGAACGCATTAACCACTGTCTCTCGGACTATTAGGTTACATAAAGAATGCCGCGTATATAGAAGTAGTAATATAAACCAGCAAGCCAGAACCTACGAACACAACCAGTGTTACGACGCCGTATACAGGTTCTTCTCCACAAGAAAGTACACCCAATTTCACCTGAATGAACTCCACAATCGAAAGCATCAGAAACACACATCCCATGATAGATCCAATGGCGGAGCCAAACAGTGCGTATTTGTGGAAAGATGAGTCGATATCGGCTTTATGAGGGTCACTTGCATCTAAACTGTTCAACAAGTTGATTGCCAACTTCAGACTTTGTGCTATGAGGGAGGAAGAGAGAAAGAAACTGAACGAAATCACTTCAAAAACGATAAGTCTCCTGATTGCGTTGATGCTGGGGTTGCATGATTCTGGATTCCCGGCGCTGCCAGCGGCAGGCACAGTTAGGGAGAACCCTATGAAGGTTGCCATGGTGAAGAGTGAGTTGACGTTTACTATGCCGTCGAGGGCTGTTACGTGGACGCTTGTCTTGGACCTTCCCGTGGTGGCAGCGGCGGAGGTGGTAGTGGTGACGGCGGGGTTTTGTGTATCTATTGAAGCGTTTGATTGGGACTCAATTCTGTTCAAATAACAAAAGAAATTAGATCTTGAAAACAAGATTTAAATGAACGCATATAAAGGCGATCTCTTTATAAAACGAAGTTTTTAGACAATGATTAAGGATATGTTTGATACGACTCCTTCAACTTCTCGTAGAATAGTTTCATAAAGAAATCACTTTAGGTTAATTTACTTCTCATAAAAACTTTTCTAGATAACAAAAAATTATCTGACATATTTGAAATTAGAAACTTCTTAACTTTAGAAACAACTTTTAACTTTTCAAAACTCGTGTCAAACGAGCTCTATCAGCAAATCATATATAGTGTGTGTTCAATAGAAATTAAAATCGAATTAAAATTGTTGAATTATAAAGAGAGGAGAGGGGTACCCATCAATTGTCGGGGACGGGGGCGCCGGTGCTACAATATACGAGTTATTTTTGGAGTTCCTTGGAGAGAGGCTATGTCTTGACAACATTTTGTTACAAGATTGTTTTAAGAGATACTTGTAATTTGTAATGAAGGCATGTATTGATACTTATTTATAGACTTGAGCATACCAATAACGTCTTTTTAATCAATGCTTTAATTTGTTTAATAATATATGTTTCATTTAACATTGTATTATTGTTGAACACTGGAACCTCGCCAGAATTGAATACTTCGACACATTCCAAGCATTATAGGGTGAATTTTGTTGGGGATATGCCATTCTTGACCATTCAATTTACCCTATTTTAACTTTTTGAGCCCACAAATATACACGCCTTTGTGAAAAATAATTTTTTTTGAAGAATGTGAGATTAAAAATGAATGCTGAGAAAAAGTTATATACATCAATTTCAAGACGTAATTTCATTAGATTTTGGTTCCTTTTTTGCTAGCCTCCTCCCATAGACCAAGAAAGAAGAAGAGATGGTTTCAATTAATGATATTTTCTATCATTTTAAAATATCTAAATTCTCTACATTTTCTATAATTATAGTATAACATATGTTTTAAATTTTTATTAAAATTAATTACTATGGCTAAAAAAGTTTCGACTCAACTATTTCCAAAAAAAATAAAAATAAAAAATCACCTCAATTAACATTCACAAATCTAGAAAATGGTGAAAAAAATGCATTTGAGGGAGTTGTTTTGGTTAACCATTGTTATGAGTATGAACTAGTCTACAAAATAACACATCCATTATATAAAGTTCTGAGTTCATCTTTGACAAAGCTTAAATTATAACTTAGCTCATCAAACATACGTTTTATGTAGATATTTTATAGAATCTACAAGTTACTATCCCTTTAAACGCTATCAAATGAGCACTTTAATATAACCAAAACTCATGTTGGAAGTCGAGCCGAGCCCAAGATATTGAAGTAAGGAAATTTGTTGTTTTACCCTTTCAACTCCAACAACACATGCAAATTTGGTGCATTCAACTTGTAATTTAATATATGCGAATGACAAATTTTAAAGTAATTACTACATAGTGGGGTTGTACCTAACGTAGGGCTAGCAGCCATTAATTTGTTTTCAAGTTCATCTGAGGCGACCGGCTAAAATCACATGGATCCACAAGTAACACGCGATGTATATATGCAAGTTAAATATTCATAAATTAATCCTCCTCAATTCTCTACTTAAAATACATTAATAATCATTTCGTTGAATCTTAAAATATGAATTGAATTATTTTACGATCAATGGACATATGCTTAAAATAGAATACTTTACACGATGCATGATGGTAAGACTATACATATATAATGCGGCCACGTGATATCTAAATTTAGTTTCTTTCACTTGTCGAGTTTTTTAAGTATTATCATAGAATTGAGAATGAGTAAATCACTCTCCCTCAGTGACACTGGAAACGTGGGATAGAATTTAGAGGTACCACAAGCACTCGCATTCGATGAGTAACTTGTCACTGAAAGAAACTTACTAAAGGATAAGACATGTCCCAAGTATCAAACTCGTTGCTGGAAGGAATTCATCGAAGCAATAAGAGTGAAGAACAAGCAGAAATCCTTCTTCTCAACAAGTTAAAGACTTAACATACATTTATTTAAACTTCATATCTTAGTTCATTGTCTTCAAGGCTTACAAGATTCGTATTACTCGGAAAAAAAAAAGCCCTTCAAGCGCCGACTTTTTAAAGCATTCATCTATGTTCTTTTTTTCAAGATCAAATTAAGAGTTTGTTTGGTACAGCTCAAAATTGAATTAAAATTGAAAATATAGCATTTATTAGGCCTCTCTCGTTTAATAAAAGTCAATAATAATAGCTAATTTTTCAATTTTAATCCGATTTTAATCCCTACCGAACACGCCATAAATGAAAAGAGATAAAATCTAAGTTGTTAGAATTTCGGTATTACCCGAATTCTAACGAGAATTTAATTTGAAGTTCTATTGGAAGTTGGTTGTATGACTTGAAAAAGTTTTGAAAGAGTCCAAGATGGATAAGGATGATGATTCGCAATTTTGACAATTTTTCTCTCTTATTCCAATTCAAACACTCCGTTATTGATATTACAAATTGAATCTTGCTACACGTACATTCTAGTTAACATTCTACTTTACATTATAACATGTGGTACACAATTTTATCATTAATTTCTCCAATACTTAAAACAATCAATGATCTCGATTTTGGCACATATTCAAATGTCATCTAAGTTATACATAAGTAATGTACAAATAGCATATCTCTTACAAATTGTATTAGAACTCCCTTATATTAAACTCTTCATTATACTATATTCTCCTAGTGTGTGTTAGGGATTCTTTAACTATAAATATGTAATGTACAACACATATTGAGATAGGCCAATTGTCCAACTTATTAGTTTGATTATAATGAATGATTGAATTTTCTGTCTCTGTCCGTGATTTTTTCGAGTCAGGTTTTCACATAAATCTTGTGTTCTTGTAATTGTTTATTTTCATATTATCTATATCTTGTCTTTAATTTTTAATATAAGCAATAAATTCACGCATACAACGTGCATTAGAATAAACACTGAATTTACTCTAAAATATCATGGATTTAAACAAATAAATGTAAAATTTCATGTTTATTCCACATCTACACATTAATATAGGAAATACAATATGGATAATAATTGGATCTGAATTCCCTACAAATTAACCAACAGATATCTAAGATTTCAAGTTGTGAGAAGTACAAGAGTTATCTCTACTGGACATTGAGTTTGAAGTTAGATGATATCCCACTATTTCTGTCATTGTTTGATCTCACATAAAGAATGAAGCATACACAGATGTGAAAACATAAACCAGTAGAGAAGAACCCACAAATACAACCAGTGTCACGACCGCGTATACGGGTTCACCCCCACAAGAAAGTACTCCAAGTTTCACTTGAATAAAACCCACGATGGAAAGTGTCAGAAATAAGCATCCCATGACGGATCCAATGGCAGAGCCAAACAACCCGTATTTCAGAACAGAAGAGTCGATATCAGCTTTATGAGGGTCTGTTGCATCTAAACTGTTCAACAAGTTGATTGTCAGCTTGAGACTTTGTGCTATGAGGGAGGAAAACAGAAAGAAACTGAAGGAAATGACTTCGAAAACGATAAGTCTTCTGACTGTATCGATACTGGCATTGCATGATGCTGGATGCCCAGCGCTGCCATTAGCAGGGACAGTGAGGGAGAAACCGATGAAGATTGCCATGGTGAAGAGCGAATTCACGTTTACTATACCATCTAGGGCAGTTACGTGGATGCTAGTCTTGGACTGACTCACGGTGGAGGGCTGCGCATCTTGTGAAGTCTTTGATTGCAACTCAATTCTGTTCAAAATAATCGAGGGAATCAGTACATTGTTTGTAATTAAAAACACACAAATAAATAGCAAACAAAGTCCCATATCGACTAGACATGGGTGATAACGAGCGATGAAATTATTTTACCCGTCAATGACTGAATCGTTCGTCGAGGACTGAGCTGGTAATACAACGGAGAGCCTGCCTCTGGTGAACATTTTCTTGCAAGAATATTTAGGTAGTTGTAATGCTAGACATAGATGCACTTATATATATATAATACAGCATGGCAAGTTGGATACTTGTGCACATGCCAATAAGAGGGAAAACCTTAATTTATTGGGATGCCTTTCTTGACCATGGATAATTTACCCTATTTGACGTTTGAAATCTGGTCTCGACTAAGTCGAAAGGTGTTTAAAATATGCAGAAACCTTACGCCGAACAACCCAAAAAACCTATTTCTGTAATAAAATATCAAAACGTGAATCTTGAAGTGTATTTTGTCGTTAATTTACCTAATTATTAGGGTATGATGATACTTGATACCATGATAATATAATTTATCCATTAATGAATAAGGAGGTATCTTGGCTTTGAACAAACCCAAATAACCTAGTTCTGTAATGAAAATAGTTAGGTCAATCTTGAAGTTCAGTACGAATGTTATCTTTGCTTATTTACCTAATTAATTTCGGTATGATAACTGCATTATTATCCATACATAATCCCATTATAAGTGTCCTTTTACATCTGTACATTTTGAACTTTCTATCGTATCATTTAATAATAATGCTATGTGTACATTCGGGATTAACACCCAAAATGACACATCCTTCACATGGGGGTGGGGCCGGCGAGTAATAAAATAATCTCGAGCCCCCCTATGTGAGGGGGTATCATTTGGAATGTCAACCTCGAATGTACACATCTCTTCTCTTGTCCTCGAACACCTTAGAATAGATTTGATTATATAAATATGGTAAGTGTTGACCCCAAAAAATGTTGCCAACAGATGCCGGGCACACTCGTGTACACGTAAGTTTAATCCAACAAGTTAATGCCGATCGACGGTCATGATGGTTCCAAAATTTGAACGTGGGATGAGCTCAACGACACGAGACGTCTCCGTTCGGGCCTCCGACAATATAAAAGAACACGGTTGTATAAGAAACCATTCGATAAAGAACAAGATTTGTAGTTGAAATATGCTGATAAACGAGAGAATAATATTGCTCCAAGTATTTAGAATTTCATTAATCTTTCTTGTGTTACATGGTGGGGGTATTTATAGTATTACAAATGAAATAATGATATTTGGATCAATTTACACGTGGCACCATCTCCTCGGCCAAGACATCAAGTCCTAGCCATCAAGTTGACTCTCCCAGCCTTACAAGACATTAAATGCTCTTATATTGACAAGACAAGACACGAATAGACTTTACACAAAAGTCACATCAATCATTCAAAATAAAGATCTTCATCATGAGCAAATCTCTACATGTGGGCCATCACTAACTGCTAACGAGCCTCAAATCCGTGGTGGTGTCCTAGGCCTCAGATAGTGCATGGCCTCGGAACAAGGGCCTCAGCTAACGAATGAAAGCTTCGGATAGTGGGCCTCGGTATAGCATTGAGCCTCAGTTGACACGTCAGAGGTCAGGAAAATACACCTAGTTCAATTGGGCTGGTCCCACCGTTCAAATATGATGCCACGTAGTGCTTCTCATTATAAGTCGTAACAATAGTCCTCCAAGTCTATATGTGGTTATTTATGCCATGCGTGGACTTTCAAGAAGTTATTTAATGCATAAGGTTAATGAAGTTGCCTTTAAAGCTGAAGTTCTTTTGAAGCAGAGGCGAGTTTGTAATGGAACTGGCCGATGCTGAATTTCTTTTGACGCAGAGGCGAGTTCGCAATGGAACTGGCCGAAGCTGTATTCTTTTGAAACAGAGGCGAGTTCGTAATGGAACTGACCGAGGCTGAATTTCTTTTGACGCAAAGGCGAGTTCGTAAGGGAACTGGCCGAAACTTTATTCTTTTGAAGCAGAGGCGAGTTCGTAATGGAACTGGCCGAGGCTGAAGTCCTTTTGAAGCAGAGGCGAGTTACATGGATATTAGTGCCTGTGATGTGATGGTTTTGCACGTTTCCAAAGCCAACGGTGTGCATTGAAATGACTTTCTATACCCGTATAGTCGTTCGCATTTAATGTGCCATGATAGCTAATTATTAGGACGCGTGATTTTGGGATGAGTAGTCACGCGCCCAACTAGTTGTGTTAAGCACGCATGAATCTGAGGCGTTGGATATACAAACCGTTCGTAATCTGCGGCTTAGATGTGTTTGATTTTGGACACTTCAGATCAACTATATTTCAATCCAATGGCCAGGGTCAAATCGTTCATTCTTATAAAAACCAAGATCTTGTCATTTCTACACTTTACCATTTGCGAAAATTCACCAAATCTTCTCAAGTTTTCTTGCTGTCAGAGAGTTTTTAGGCCACCATCTTCCGGTGAGTCTTCTAAGTTCTTCATCCACTTAGGTATTCTTTGATAAAGAAGTAATTTGTCCACCCTTCAATATCATTTATATAATTTTTCGTCATTTTGTTTAATTACAATGTCTTTCGAGGCTTCACTAGCCATTACATTAGCTAGGCATGGGGAGGAGTCTGTATCTGGGGCCTCGGGCAAGTGGTATAGTATGAAGGAGGAGCCTATAGATTATGAGGTGGGTTAGGGGGCATCCAAAGTTCCATCCTCCATAACTTCCTCCAAATTAGCTGAGTTTAGGAAAACTTACAACGTACCCCATTATATAGAACTGATAGTCCCTGAGCCCCATGAAAAAGCCTGTTTTCCGAGGCCATGTTGTGTCGCTTTCAGTGAATACCTGCATAAAGCAGGCGTGCGTCTACCTCTGCATCCATTTTTAGGACGGTGCTGAGGACCTTCATGTTGTCCCCCACCCAAATTCTGCCAAACGGGTGGAGTCAATTCGTAGGGGCCTACTTCCTTTGGAAGGAAGTGTCCTTGGGCGAGGACATGCCTCTACATATCTTCGAAACTTTATTCCATGCTAGGGTAGTAAGCAAAGACGACTCGAAGCGGTGGTACTATATCACCCCTTGGGGATCCCATGCCCTTTTCGTAGTTGGTCTCCCTTCCTTTATAAAGGGATGTAAGGAATCTGGTTCTGGGTGAAGGGTATGTGACAGATGGTTGGAGGAGATGCTGTCCCAGCCTGTATCGTGCCGACCCAGTACTACGAAGTTTGTGAGTGTCTCGTCTTGAATATTTGTAATTTCTGCATAGCTTATTGCATTAACTCTTATTTGTTGATTTGCAGATTGTTGTTCCAGGTACGAGCTAACCGAAGCGGAGTGGGGTATTATTGAAGATATTTACAAATGATCTCCGAGGCTCCGAAGCTTTGCCCATCTTATCGACAGGAACCAATATTTTATTGACTTTGGACTAATGGCTCCTAATGGTAAGAAATTTTCTAACTTCTAACCTTCACATGGCTTCAGTAATCTAACTTTTCCTCTGATGGTTGCAAATAAGTTCAATAAGAAAGAGTATGCTCTGCCTGATATGGCTAGCATTATGAAGGCCACATCCACTGCTGGCGCGAAGGTACTGAAGCCTGGATCCTCAGGAGCCAAACAAGTGAAATCGAGGCTCTACCGCCTCAGTAAAGACAAATCTGGAAAAGAAGCTGAGGAGAGGCTCCCAAAGAAGTTTCCAAAGGGGGTAAACCACTTGCTGCCAAGGGCAAGGGCATAGTTGAAGAGCCCCAGAAGAAGAGGAAGTTGGGCTCAGGTGATGGATCTTTTGCATGTTTTGGGACTTCAGTGCCCTATGCTGAGAACCTCCCTGTCAACAATGCATTTCATGGAGTTCCTGGTAGTTGACAGTAGATCAGCCTATCATGGGGTTCTGGGGAGGCCCGCGCTAAAGGACCTGGGAGCTGCAACCTCCATTCACCACCTGTGCATGAAGTTCCCAACTGATCAAGGAGTGGCAACAGTCAGAGGGGACCAAAGAGGAGCCAGGGAATGCTACCTCAATTCTGTGAGGAAAGCTGAACCCAGGGATATGAACATGGTGGCGGCACCAGTGGCCCTGAGTTGCCAACACTTGAAGAACTTGATCCACGAGTAACTGAGACTGATTCCCAGGCGGCTCCCATGGAAGAATTGGAAAGCTTCCCTATTGATCCAATAGAACCAACTAAGCTGCTACAGGTTGGTAAGAGTCTAGCCCCAAAATTTAAGGAAGGGCTGAAAGTATTTTTGTGCAAGAACCATGATGTCTTTGCTTGGAGGCATGAGGATATGGTGGGCATTGACCCTGGAATCAGTTGCCATCACCTAAAAATTGATCCTAAAGTTGCCCCGCATAGGCAGAAGAGGCGAGCTCTTAACCCAAAAAGGTACGAGGCCTTGAAAGAGGAAGTGCAGAAGCTGATCAACAATGGCTTTATCAGGGAGGCCCTCTATCCGAAGTGGATATCCAATCCAGTGCTGGTGAAGAAACATAACGGGAAGTGGAGAGGGTACATTGACTTTTCTGATCTTAACAAGGCATGCCCAAAAGACAGTTTCCCACTTCCTAGAATTGATCAATTAGTGGACTCCATAGCTGGCCATGAGTCCCTAAGCTTCATGGATGCTTATTCTGGCTACAATCAGATTCCCATATACCCAGGCGACGAAGAGCACACCTCATTCATCATGGACCGAGGCCTCTACTGTTACAAGATGATGCCCTTTGGCCTAAAAAATGCTGGAGCCACTTATCAGAGGTTGGTAAAAAAGATGTTCGCTGATTTACTGGGCAACACTATGGAAGTCTATGTGGATGACATGCTCGTCAAAAGCTTGAAAGTGGAGGATCACATAACCCACCTCAAAGGAGCCTTTGAAATTCAACGAAGGTATCGCATGAAGTTGAACCCCCTCAAGTGTGCATTTGGGGTAGCTTCAGGCAAGTTCCTAGGATACATGGTCAACCAACGAGGCATTGAGGCTAATCCAGAAAAGATCCAGGCGTTGATTGAAATGAAGCCTCCTCAAAAACCGAAAGAAGTGTAGAGTTTAACGGGTCGGGTTGCTGCTCTCAGTCGCTTCATTTCGAAAGCCACAGATAAGTGCCTTCCGTTTTTTAAAGTGTTAAAAGGTGGCCAGAAATTTCAGTGGACTGAGG